TATTATCTGGTGTAATGTGACCAGCTCTACTGCGTCTTTAAATGTCGAATGAGAAAGTAAGCGTTTAATATGATCTGAAAGTGTGAGTATGAGCAGGGATTTGTTAATAATAACAACTTCTTGTTACTTGTGTTTCTACTAAATAATGAAATAGTGGGGTAGCCGTGTTAGTCTGAACTATAACTAGACAGTAAAATGACAGGCAGCACTTTATAGACTAACAAATATTTATTAGCACAAGCTTTCGAGGTCTGATGTGAATTTATAGAGGATTTGACCAGGGTCAGTGACACACTGCGGGTTGTATCCTTCGCCGACGATACCACACTGTTTTATTCCAATCCAAACTTGGACACCCTATACAGTACTGTAAATAGCGAATTGCCAACATTTGATGAGTGGTTCATCTCAAAAAAGCTCTGTATAAACGCACTTAAACAACATTGTTTTCCATACTCCACAAAAAATGCCTAATTTAAATTTAAATAACCACAATATTTAATTTAAAACAAAATGTCTAAGTCAATAAGTATCATATGTAAGCTCTGTTTATTTTTCTCATCAAATATATTAACCTCGCTTTACAATACCTTAGTCCTTCCCTACTTTCACTATTGCAATTTAATTTGGGCGTCCGACTAGAAAATCTCCATATATTGCAGAAACGTGCTGCCAGAATAATTACTCATTCTCATTATAGAGAACCATCTGAACCTCTTTTTAAGCAACTTAAAATACTCAATATTTACGATCTTCATAAAACTCAAGTAGCAAATTTTATGTATAGGTGGTATATTCATAAAAAAACTTCCATTACCCATGTCTGTTATGTTGAATTATTATGAGAATAGTAAACCAAAATGTTTATTACTGCTCTAGGTCTTATGTTATGGAATGAACTTCTTTATTATATTAAACAATTTGTTAGTTTACCTGTCAGGTCAGGCCATATTATCTAACATCTAAGATATGCATATCTAAGTTTTGCTACCAGTCAAGCTGTAATCTTTTACTGCCTGAACAACACCTGCCTCTGTCGGGTCATGCTCTCTTGTAGTGATGCACAGCGCATACATCATATGTGGTAGGGTCTCCCAAGCTGTGAAAGTATGGGAAGCTTGACCCGGAAGCTGCAGATGGATCGCAACATCCTGCTACTAACATCAACTAATGGTAGGAAACCATTTGCTTCAGCCGACTCGTGCCAAAAGTATAGCTCCGCTTTCCTTTGGAACCAGCAATTTAGGCCGAGAGAGGATTCATGACGCTTGGGTAACCCATGGATCCTTAACATTACTCTGGCAAACACACCGGAGAAGACAACTCTGGCATCTGAGGATGACACAATTTGGCGCATAGTCTATTGAGACTGATGCTGGCCGATATAGTTTACCTGTATTTAAAAAAAAACCAAAAACTTGAAATGACATTATTTAAGCCTATACCAAAATGAAAGCTATACATACTATCATTATTATTATTATTATTATTATTATTATTATTATTATTATTATTATTATTATTATTGTTATTATTATATGATTAATATGAATATGAATATGATTATTGATTCTTACTGTTATAGTATTATTATTATTATTATTATTATTCTATTATTATTATTATTATTATTATTATTATCATCATCATCTAGAATCACTATGAGACAAGGCTTGCCTTCTAATTGTGATCCTAACAGTGGCCTTTATTATTTTTTTTCCTTTCTCGTATAAGTTGTTTCCATGTCATTGTCATTGTTGAAGTTGATTAATATACCACATTTATTCGAATAAGCATCCCGGGGTGTTTATTGTTCAGATAGGTTTTTGAGGAGCCAACGTTTACTAGTAAATGTAGTCTACTGTGCATAATTAATGGTAAGTGTTTTTGCATGGCTTTTAAATCCCTAATTAATTAGCAATTGATTTAATTAAATTTTTTTTTAAACTAACATTCGTATAATAATTTCCTATAGCGTAATATGCGGAGCTCTACTAATTGCTTATTAGTCTTTAATGCATTTTAAATTATGACGTTTATTCTTTCAATTGTGTTTTGTTTCATGTTTTTTAATTGTCTTTGAAAGTTATGTTTATTTTGTGAAAAATAAATAGGGTCCTTCTCCATGCATGGCAAATGGGCAGAGTGTGTGTGAAAATGAATATTACATAGCATAGCCTGTCATTCATTATAGGCATATTTGATAGCTGGAAAGCTAGAAATTGTCTTTTAATTTCAAAATAATTACGTTAAAAGTAGTTTAATTAATTATTGTAATTTTATTTTAATAAATTGTACAAGTGTTTTTGTGGAATTTTGTGTGCCTCGCACTCTTGGTACACGTCCCATATAAACATTACCGTCATAGTTCGCATGAAATGCATGCCTCGCTGGATGACTCGCTGGCTCGCACATTGGTTACACTCCACGTGGTTAGCATATCTAACTAAATAGCCAAAGATAATTTCATTGTATTATACCACACATTACGTTAACATTTTTGCAAGCAGTGCAACTTATTTCATTGATGATTACGCTTTCATTGAGTCAAGCTCGTAATTATTTTGGAACAGTTAATTTATGATTTAGGGTGTTTCTTACACAGACTATAAATTAAGCAAGTGTAACAATTTTATAATGTATTTCATTCATATTTCTATACATAACCAAATACATAATTATTTTTTATCAAACTACTGTACCACAACAGGTCTAGTACACACTGTACTTTCTCTATCACACTCACACATGCAGTATCCTAACACATTAGAAAATGAAATCGTGCAGCCCACACCGGCGGTGACTTACGAACCCCTTGGAAACTCGTACCAAAAAACTATAAATCTCTACTGCTTAAAACTTGCATCAATCTCTATCTGTTTCGCTAGACTATGATTATAATCTAGTAGTGTTTAAAAATAGAGATAATGTAGTCATTTTTCCTGGTATTCAAGAGAGCTCTGTATCCATGCGAGCATCAGATGGTTACATGCTTGTTATGCATCCCATTCCGAATATTTTCAATCAATCACAAAGATCATCATGAGGTGTAAGCAAGACTGGAGGATTTAATCTTGCAGTCTGCAAGCTGACTATTAAATTATGTACATTTAGTCAAATAGAGGTGTTTGTCCAACTGCAAACAAGACTTGTGGGACTTGCGTTGCAACATACGTCTGGCCTTCAAATTTCGAAGCTCTTCTGTAAACCAAGGCGATGTTGGTCGTAGAACAACTTGATTGGATACAATAGATGCTTGTGTATCGAGTACATCCCGAAAATTGAGTTTAGCTGGGGTAGGCCTGATATAGAAATGGTTAGTTTATGGGTTATTGGAAGGGTGTAAACCTCTTTTTTTTTAGAAAGAAATTTTTTTGAAATAATTTGGTTTTTTTTCCCAGTAAAGGTGAAGAAGGCTAGAGGACTGGCCGAAAATTTCTTTCAAAAATAAATACAGTCTTCAACAGTCTACACGCCTTGTCATCAGATTTTTTTGTTTTAACGACTAATATATGTAGGCCTAATATATATATATATATAGTTATGTGTCCACATGACATTTTATTTGACAGTATTATAT